CACGCGCGTGCGCACACTAATTAGCATATTTTGTAAAGCTTTTCTATGTTCGATGACCATTTTAAATCTCACTGAGGAGGGCATTATTCAGTCATATTAAGTAAACCACAACTGTCTCTCTGTGGATGAGTTTGTCCTATTACACTTTTTATACTTACGATAAATTTCCTGTAAAATAAAGATTGCTATCTTATCTAGCTATTAGATTCTAACATGTTTTAAAAGTTTAATGGTATATTTCAATAAACATTTTCTAGAATATTTTATAAGTTCATAGGTGAAATATTATTTATTTATTCACTTATTTATTTATTTATTTATGTATTTTTGTTGTTCAGTTACGGTTGTCCCAATTTTTCCCCCGTGGCTCTCCCCCACTCCGCCCACCCCCAGTCAAGCCCCACGCTGTTGCCCACGTCCGTGGGTCCTTTGCACATGTTCCGTGATGACCCTTCCCCTTCCTTCCACTGTTATCCTCCTACCCCCTCCCCTCTGGTTACTGTCAATTTGTTCTTCATTTCCATGTCTCTGGTTCTATTTTGCTTGTTTGTTTTGTTGTTTAGGTTCCTGTTAAAGGTGAGATCATGTGGTATTTGTCTTTCACTGCCTGGCTTGTTTCACTTAGCGTAGTGCTTTCCAGTTCCATCCATGCTGTTGTGAAGGGTAGGAGCTCCTTCTTTCTCTCTGCTGCATAGTATTCCGTTGTGTATAGGTAAAAATATGTTTTATTTTAAATGAGTTCTTATTATAACACATGATAAATAGCTTTTTCTTAGCCCTGGCTGGTGTAGCTCAGTGGATTGAGTGCGGGCTGCGAACCAAAGTATCACAGGTTCAATTCCCAGTCAGGGCACATGCCTGGGTTGCAGGCCACGGCCACCAGCAACCGCACATTGATGTTTCTCTCTCTTTCTTTCTCCCTCCCTTCCCTCTCTAAAAATACATAAATAAATCTTTTTTAAAAATCACTTTTTCTTTGTACAAATGTCACTTCTGTTTTTAAAAGTATTCGTTCTTAAAGTATTAAGTTAGCCCTGGAGAGTGCAATGAGATCTTTCTTGGTAATAATAACTGTTGGAAAAAGTGGATAACACACCCAGGTTTTGGAAGGACGGTGCTGTGTAGTCCCACACCATGGACTGTTCACAGAAAGCTTTCTGCTGACCAAACCCAGCCTTGATTAGTCGGCAATGGAAAATTGTTTTACATTTGGCCACAAGATGGTGATATCACAAAGCAAATCCAAAAGTAAACCAAATTAGGTCTCTTCCAAATTGTTTGCACTTGTGCTTCTTCCCAAGCTAAGCCTTTAAATGTAACAATTGTTATCAGTGAGGGCATTCCCCTGACTGATTTTGCATTTCAAGGTCTGTTCCCTGTTTGTATTTTGGGTTTTTTTTATCCTTCACACCGAGTGCTGACTGACTGTCTCTTAAAGGAGGTTAATTCAGTCTATGTTCAGTTGTCAACCTGTTCTTTGCTGCTTCTTTCGTCTAGCGGGGCGGGGGTGGGGGGACTGTTACCATCTGGGATCTGATCAGTGTATGTCTGCACAGGTGTTTAATGTCAGCATAGCTCACAATAACATGTAAGAAGTGACAAGAGAGAGGAAAGACACACAGAGCTGTGTCCCGGTGGTCCCAAGTCACTCGAGAAAAACCCTGTGACGTGTTTGAAAGACTGAAAGCAGTGAGGAGAGTGAGGCATGGTGAACGGGAGGCCCGAGGAGTGTGCTGTGTCATCTGAGAGTAACGACAGAGGCCTCTGGGTGGTTTGACTCAGCATCGACGGCACCGTTCGAAGAAACTTTCTGATCAAAATTTAGAGAAAGGAACGGATGAGGGCCAGGTCATTGCAGCAGCCCAGGTCTAGGCTGGCGCGTGAGTTCCCTGGTCTGGCGAGCAGGGGTGAGAGCAGAGGGTTTTGAGAGTCGTTGCAAAGGTAGGAATAGTAGGACTGAGAAGCTGACGGCTGTGAATTGGGAATGATGAAGGAGAAAAGTCGAAGAGGGACCTCGGGGTTGCCCGGGGGTGTTCAAGCATCTCTCGTCTGTCTCGTGTGGAAGAAGAGCCTCGCGTTTGCACCCCGTGAGCCGATGGCGGTGTGATGGCGCAGTGAACGGTGGACATCATCACCTGAATGCACGTTTAATGATTCTCATCGGAGATTTGCTTCTGAGCTTCTGAGTCTTCCCGTCAACCACGTCTAGTTTCTGACCACATGCAACCACTGCGTCAGCATTTTGAGGTGGCCCAGACTGCTTCCATCTCCTCCCTGTCTGAAGTCATCCCCCCGGTACGCAGGCCACCAGGGGTTCCCTGCTGCTCGAAGCCCCCGCCAGAAAGCTGCGGTGAGTGCTGACTCCCCACCTGGCTCCCTCCGGCGGAGCCCCCTGGGACTTCGGCGTGGCTGGGGAGAAGCTGACAGACACACTGCCTGACTCCAGGGTCGGGCAGCTGGTGCCGGGTGGCCACCCACCTCTCCCCTCGGCCCCACTGCTCCCCCATGTAGCTTCTGGGCGTCTGGGGCCAAGGCACTGCCGTCATGAGGGTGAGTGGCATGACTGCAGGCAGGATGCGGGATGTGGCGATTATGACACAGACAAGTCTAGAAAAGTGGTCAGTACTGTGTCCGCAGAACAAATCCTTCACCCATGACCGACGTCTGTATCCTGCAGGTGATTCTGTGTCGATATTGGAAGAATTACAGACACACAGTTGATTTCGGTCTCAGATGAAAATTATCTCCTAAGGTGCAAAAATGTTCAATGGCTTTACTCAGTTGCTTCAACGTTGTATGACTTTTGTCATTGCTTTGGCAGTTGTTTTGTATAAAAAGGTAACAGAAGGAGGGGGTGGAGGAATATTGAAATGTGTCTGGGAAGTCTGGTTCTATTAACATAGAAAAATTGCTTGGAAAGTCCAAATACTTATTAAACTATATTATCTCATCAATATATTTTCATAGTGGCTTTTCAAATATTAAGCTCTCTCTTTCAGAGGCTTAATAATTCACTTTTAATAGTTATGCATGACACAGGACAGCAACATCTCAGCAACCTAAAGAAAACAATAGCATGACCTCAAAATAGCTTAATATAAAATCAATGTATGAAGCGATTGTAACTTTTCATACTACCTAATCAATGCTAACATCCTATGGGTACATAGGTAGAGATTTTTCAACAGGCAGATTTCTTTTATAAAAATATGTGCCCTGAAATACTTACAGTTCAAGGTGATCCCACAGCTGTTGATTTGCTGCTAATCGGGGCTCTGAGTCCGTGACATCTGTGGGACACGTGGAGGGAGCTGATTACCTGGTTCCAAGTTCAAGGATGAATCTTACCACACTAAAGTGAGACGTGAGGTTTGCCCTCACTAACCGGGAGGATGCTGAGTTCTCCAAAATAAGGAATTTTGCTCTTTTAGTTGGAGATAATAAATCAAGCACAGACCCTGAATTACTTTTAGCAGCATGGTTTCCAGTGAAAATGGCAGTCATTGCACTGCCTGCTTTTTGCCAAAAACATTAAAAACCACTAAATCACAATTTAGTTTTCATTAAAAAGTGATCAGAAGAGACTCCATTTTCAATGTCAAATTGTGTGTCAGTTGGTTGGCCCAAGACATCTACAATTGCTGTTATTTACTTATCCTCAGAAGGAGGGATCGTTGTTTTCGCTGAAACATTTTACGATATGAGTAATCAAATGTAATCTTATTACGTAATAAGGTAGGACCTGGGCTTCATACCTTAAGGAGGTATGATTAAGGAGCTCTGACGTAACGACAGAGGGGTTAGTGGTAAGTGAAGGGAACTTGAGAACGGTGAGCTGCTGGAGGCCTGAGGGGCAGGCCCCCCTCCAGGGCTGAGCGGGCTGCCCAGGAAGACAGCCGGGGACCCAGAGGGCACAGCCGCGGCTCACGGAACTGCAGTCGAGCTGCTTTGGTTCTTTCTCTGGGGCAGAGCTGGGCCCTGGGCGGAGGGGCCTGCCGGCCACCAGGGATGCTGACCACGTCAACCAGGAGGCGCTCTCCGGAGAGGTGCCCACACTGCGGGGGTGTCGGGAGCCCGGTGTCGGGGTGTGAGTCACCCGGCGGTCTTCTCTCCGGACTTTCCTGTCTCCGCTCATTGCTGTTCGCCAGTAGCCAGACCGAGCCGCATGGAGGGCAAGGGGGCAGTCCAGCACAGTCACCGCCACGCTGTTGGTCACGTCCCAGCACCACTGTCCAGCTTCCTCCTTCTGCCCGTCTGGGCAAGTCCCCTGGTGCTCCTGGGGCCGAGACTAGCCGGGCGGTTGCTGTGTATCAGCAGGAGGAGTAGGGGGGCACGCATCTATGCCACTTCCCTGGGTCCAGGAGTCTGCCTTTGACCTTAAATCTTACGTTTCTGTTCCCAGACCAGTGCTCTCTGGTCTTTATAGTGTACTGGGACCTTGTCCCTGGTTTTGTGAAAACGAATTCTCCACTGGGAACTACATTCCTTTCTACCGCCTTTCTTTTCTTCCTCTTCCTTTTCAATTCTTCTTCTTCCTCCTTCCCTTTGCTCCTTTCCTGTCTGGACCCCCACTCTCCTTCTGGCCACGCAATTATTCAGAGCCTATTCATTAAGAAGTGATTCACTCCTGGCTGGCATAGCTCAGTGGATTGAGCTCGGGCTGCGAACCAAAGTGTCGCAGGTTCAATTCCCAGTCAGGGCACATGCCTGGGTTGCAGGCCATGACCCCCAGCAACCGCACATTGATGTTTCTCTCTCCATCTCCCTCCCTTCCCTCTCTAAAAATAAATAAAAATCTTAAAAAACAAGAGTGAGCCAGAGTGGCTCTTTTATAAAAAAAAAAAGAAGTGACTCACTAACAGTTTATTTACAGCTGCCTTTTCCAATGACACCACCTTGTTTTTATTTGGGTTTTGAAATAGCAAACTGGACGATGAGTTTTATACTTTCCAGACATAATTTGCCTGAACAATGAACATGTTGGCACAAAGCTCCAAGAGTTTTCATCATCAGAAATAGTTTTATTATTTATTTTAAAGCAATTCAATATAACTGGTAGCAAAATGTTACACAGACAATAAACAGAACCAATTCCCCTAGGGTTACAAGGACTATTATTGACTGTATTGTCTTTATGTTTTCATGTACAAGTGTGTTTTTTAAAAAGGCAACGATTTGTTTAAAGGCTTTTATAAGCATATTTTTATTCTTTAAATAACAGAAAGACGAATAAACTATCATTATTATGGCAAGCTATACGCATTGTGTCAAGTAGTGCATTTGGACTGCTGTTCATGATCAAAAATAACTATTGTAAAATTTATGAAACATAACTTTTAGTTTTATAGGAAATATAGTCGTATCGTAACTTAAAACCCTAGTCTTGCCAACCGTCATAATGCAAAAATACTGGACTCGAGATCTTCTGAGGAAACAGAAGATTCATAAATTCTTATATTTATTCCTAAAAATAACTGTAAGGAAGCGAAGGAACGGCAGCTCGAAGAAACGTCGTACTTGACTATTGATGTGCAAATATGAACCGAGACCAGAACACTCATTGTGATTCTCCACTGCGTACCTTACTTTTATTCTGCCCGGAGTGCGAGTGAGTTCCCTGTCAGTGTGTGTTATTTGTCCAATATCTTCCCCGTGTGTCTGTGACGGACACAGACCTACACGCCCCGTCTTTGCTTCCAGGCATGCTCCCAGCTTTCGGTGACTTGTTGCTAAGCTGGACTTCCCTGTCTGATGAAAGACAGTGACAGGTAGGCTCTCCCTGTTGTGGAGGAAATTCTCGGGGGTTTTGTCATTCCAAAAGGAGAGCAGGGCAAAGTACTAAAACAAAAAACAAACAAAAAAAACACACGCACACACATACACAACAAATAGGCGTTTCAATCGCTAAGTCTAAATACGCAATGGCTATAATCTATAGTTTCACATTTTATGTTCTACATTTTTATTTCCATAAAGTTGTGTGGGGACTATCAGGGTTTCTTCCTCTATGTTCTTCTCCTTAAGGCTTCTATTTTCCATTCAATGTATGTGCTTATTTATGAAGAATAAACATAAACTGTCTCTTCCTAGTCTTAAATGTCTTATTTTCTGTTGCACTCGAACTCAATGTCAAATTCAGAAGTAAAGGAAATAGAAACATTAGAAGTAAATTACAAAACTTTACTTCTTATTTTAATTATAAAAAATAGCTTTTTAAATTTACTGATGTCTCTCTGCCTTAACACATTCCAACTAACTGGCAACTCCTGTGATTTTCTCTGTCTGAAAGGGGCACAGAAATACAGACAAAAGCACTGGTGTCACTAAAGGTCGGTTGATATTTAATGTATAGCTGTCAAATTCTGCATGATTCATATTCAATTCCAATGGCAAAACTCCCTATGCTTATTTATTATTTGCTTATTTCTCACAATGTAAAAACAGAGTTCCTATAATTTTTCAACATTGAATCGAGATTTTAACATACCATTTTTGTTATGGTTATTTCAATACTAAAGGCAGAAAAGAGGACTTGTAATGTGTCAAATGTCTTCGTATTCCATTAGAAGTATAATTTTGCTTCTTCGAATTTGAAGTTAACTCTCAAATGAAACACTCTGTGTAGACAGGTGGGAAATGCTGAAGCTCGGTAGTCCAGTGAAAATCACTGCATATTTCAGCTAATGATGTAATTCTTGGATTAAATTTAAGTCAACAAACATGTTTTAAGTATTTTCCCGATGTTAGGCATTCTTTTAAGAGAACATTCCGTATTGGCTTTTTATTATATTCTCCTTGGCAGACAGCGAGGGCCAGGCATTCAGTTAGCAAAAAGGTCAGGTTCTCAGTATTTCTTTCTATTTGTTTTGGTTTCTCCCATTGAACAAAACATGCTTGGAGCATCTCAGATTCTAAAATAAATGTGGTGTCGAATGAATAGGCAACCAAAACAGGTTAAGATGACTTACAGATTTATGCGCTAAAGCAAACTAGGATTCTTACAAAAATGTGAGTCAACATGTTTGTTCATTAACCTCTGCGTAGAGAAGATGAGACGTTTGTGATGAGCTTGGTATTATAAAACAGCAAGTTTAAAGAATACAATGTAACACATTTAATTTTTAAGAGGGGCAACGATCTTCTATGTCCAATGTGACGCACCAAATATAGCTGGATTTTTGCTTTACTTTCATAAAACCTTAAGATATTTTAAAACTGCCCTCATACAGTTTGAATTATTGTCAAACAATGAACTATCCAGTTTAAAATTGTGTGTTTTAATTTAGGCTTCAAAGTTCATTCCACTGATGTCTTTCAAACATTCATAGGAATACCAATAAGCAGTACATTAAATTTCAAAATAATCTATACTTCTAAGAGAATAGATTTTTTAAAAAATATGAGAGATTTGACTAGATTCCGATCTAGTGTATTTCATGCCAGTGACACGTTTTTTTTTTTCCCTAAGAAATAGAGTTTTTTCAAGCAAGATCCTGGTAGGAAAAAAAATGAGTCCGGGAGGCTCGCAGCATCAAAGCTGCGTCTCCTCGCGCGAGTCCTGAGCGGCGGGGCGGCAGAGGCTGCTGTCGCGGCTGGGCTCGCTGTTGGGAAGGTAGGACAGCGGGTCTGGCCGGATCAGGTACCTGGAAGAGGACACAAAGCCAGGAACGGCAACAGTCAGTAAACACAAAACCAGTTCATGCCGGCACTTGGGGTCCCTACTCCAGATGTCTGTGTCTGGGGGCTTTGCTTTTTAACGCCCGGTCCTCTGGTGATGTATGGTTCTTTGAACCAAACGCATGGTGCCTCTTCATTGAAAGTGAACTCTTGAGAGTGATGTCTTAGAAAAGCATAGAAGGCATGGGTGTAACCCATTCTCCTCTAAATTCACTTACGTGACCGTGCAAGTTCCTTCCCCTAACATTGTCACTATGAAACCTAAGAGTCTAATAAGGTAAATTTTGAAGGTGCATTTTTTGGTGCTATTTGTCACATAGGCATTTTTTCATGATACCTGTGATTGCTCAAGTTACACTAGAACTTCGTTATCTCAATGCCTACAATACGGATTATTGTATGTACATAAGACCTAGTTTTTGATGAATCAAATGACTACCTTTGACCTTTTCCTAATAAGCCTTGACCTGTTTTACTTTGGATGGCAGAAAATCATGTGTCTATAGAACTAGATAGTGGAAGATATTTCAGGTTGTTCTTTAAGCTGTTCTCTTATTATTCCGCATATTTTCTCTCATTTCCCCAAATGCACCTATATACCAGCCCACAGAATACAGAATTCATGCTGCCATTTCCTACTTTTACTCCTCGACAATCCTGCAGTGTTTTCTAGTATGTCATGCCGAAATACATAACATGCCTTTATTGACTGAGCACCAAAATTAGACTTGGACATTTATATCACAAGAACCATAGGGGCTATAACAGTGGAGATAAAAATATAAAAATATAAATTGGCCCTGGCTGGTATGGCTCAGTGGATGGAGCATGGGCCTGTGAACCAAGGGGTAGCTGGTTCGATTCCCGGTTGGGGCACAGGCCTGGGTTGTGGGCCAGGTCCCCAGGAGGGGGCGTGTGAGAGGCAACCACACATGGATGTTTCTCTCCTTCTCTTTCTCCTTCCCTTCCCCTCTCTCTAAAAATAAATAAGTAAAAGTCTTTTAAAAAGAAACATAAATCGGTGGCTTCTAAAGATAAACATAGATGTGAGGTCCACTTACACCACGTCGTTCAGCTCCAGCCTGGTGTCCGGGGACGGGTTAATGAGGATGTAGGACAGGGTGCTCTGGTGGTCATTCATTTCATCTGGAAGACAAAGACGTGCCGAGCGTGTTACGCTCTCACAGGAAATTACGAGGCTCATTATAGAGCATCTCATCTTGCAAACACAGAGCCGCCAATGGGGACTTGCTACAGTCTTGCCCACAGGAGGGTCGTGTATGCAGTCGACTCTTTTCAAGTTCCTGCCGTGGGGGACGCCTGGCAGGCACCCATTTTTGTTCCAACAGGTGATGCAAGTAGAGTATCTGGTTCTGTTCAGAACAACCGCAGTTATATTCTACCCTTGACGCGTTTACACTGAGAAAGTTTTTCTGTGAAGGAAATAGCTAAACAAGATGTTAACTTGATTTCAGAGGCTTTAGTAATGGTGCAACATGATTGTGGGTAAAGATGGCCATCCCAGGAAGGAATGTGCTTCCAGGAAATCCCATGAAAAATCACTAATGCCACTGTGTTTAGAAAACGTAACAAAACGGCATCTAGAAAGCTTGAAGGTCCTAAGTGTGTTTGATGGTGTGACAGACAGCCCACTATTGGTTTTGCAGGATGCAAAGGATCCCGTGGAACAGAGTTGAACTGTAATTTGCCAGGAAAGCATACGACCCAGTAATTAGTTTTTCCTCTGAAGCAATATAAATATATGTAATATATATACAGGGTCTGACATCGATAATGCCCCCTTTTTATTAAAATTTGTTATTATAAGATCATAAGCATGTGATTCTGTAGCAGAACAATATCACAGTCAAGCACACCCTCTGACCTTTTAGGTGAAATGTTAAAATTAAAACTACGAATCATTGCACCCGCAGTATCACGCTACCGGCCACACTCACGCGGGGGTTCCACCTGCCGGGCCCTGTACACAGTGAAGCAGAAGGCCGTGTCGCTTTAACTTTGCCCATTCCCTCTGAAGGCACCGTCGGGCTCCCAGTTCGGAGCGCTGACGTGGCATTGTGCAGGGACACGGGCGAGGAAGCGAGCACAGCTCGGGGAGCTGACGGCCTCCGCTGCTGAGGCTGCGATACGGTATAAACGCAAAGGTGCGTGGACACGTGGTGGACATGTATGTCAACAGCATCAACCCCGCCAGGGCGGCGCTTTTAGGCTCTGAGGGTATTTTAAATCCCCGCTCTGGACCTGTCGTGCCCTCCTAGCCGCTTCGGTGGTGGGCAAGCCGGGCTCCTGAAAGACGGGCTCAGTTGTGCGTTTGGATCCAGAAATCTGAACCCGTGTTTCATACCCGCACAGACAGGTCAGTACTCACGTAACCGCATGCAGTGAGAGCAAAGGCCTTTTACAGGTCAGTGCAGCTGGCCTTGGAAACTCCCCGCCCTGGCAAGTGTATGCTATTTTTATAAAATAATGTCTACTACTGTGTGCCTCTAACTACAAGCCTGCCACATGAAAGACAATGTGAAAAACAATAGTTTCCATTATCTTTCAAATGGATACATAGATGTGCCCTATTTTTAAAATCTATAATGAAAGTCCTTATCTGATAGGGCAGGTAACTGCTGTAGAACTAAACCCACCACAAGTCGGCCAGCAAAAGTATTATCTGTTAGGGCAGAGAACAATCAACATTCAATGAGGTATATTTGGTTGCATATATCTCCAGGGTTGATACAAAGAATTGTATTCTGCCATAGGAATAGGGTTGGCAGGCAAATCTGTATTCAAGAGGAAAAAGCTAATAATTTTTTAGCATAAATATGTCTGAAATATTGCACGTGATACATCTGTAGTAGACAATTAATTGTTTATCTGACATCCATATTTAACTGGGACTGCTCTATTTTACTTTGCTAAACCTGCCACTCTTGCCCAGGGGTAGATGGCGAACTGTGGAGAGAGAATTCCATTGAGTGTTTGACGTGAGCCTGCCCCAGATAAGGCCCAGTTCCAGCCCAGAGGATGTTGTCCTGACGGAGACAGCCAGGGTCACCTGTCCACATGAAAAAGCAGTTTATGGATGCTCTTTGGGGAATCCTCCCCTTGCGTGGATTCCCACAACTCCGTACAAAGGAACAGAAATGAACAGTGCCTTCTGGAGACCAGGACATAATACTCAGAAATGCTAGAAAACCTTCTTCTCATTTGGCTGTGTAGAACTCAAATTCTTATACAAAGGTGGCATTACTGAACTTTCTTATATAAACAGCAAACACTGTTGAGTGGTGGCATCAGGAGGAAAGCACTGTAACCCACAGCTTCTCAGTATCTGTGCCCAAACTTTCTCCTTGATCACACACGTGATGTTATAGTTATTTTTGGTTCTGGGATGAAGTCAACATCTGTGGGTGACTTGGTTGGCCTGTTGCAAATGTAAAGACTGTCTATTGGGAGTAAAAAGGAGAAAACTGTATATGAACAATGATTAATAAAAAAAAAAGACTGTCTAGATAACTGAACATTATACAATAGTAGATGGAACTAGTGCATCCATCATTGTTTTTCTGCTCATGTTCATCTATCATCCTGAAGATGGTGAGTTTTCCATGGACTTCAGCGACTGGAACAAACATTTTGCTAACGAACTCAAGCCAAAGATGACATATGGTTTCTATCAAGAGGTGGGTAACCAAGGATGAGACCTCATCACTCTCGGCTTCTGTCCTCCCCCACCCCTCACTGACTGCTCCTCAGGGTTAAGTGAACGGGAATTTTAAAAAGCGGCTGAGTCCAAAGCCATCCCCTCTCCCTCGGCCACATCCGCCTTGCTGCGGCGCGCATCCCGGCCGTGCTGTGCGTGCTGCTCGCCCAGGAGACCTACGGGTCCCGCTGTCCCTTCGTGACTGTGGGTGGGAGGACTGGGAGGCGAGCTTTTAAAAGGTCCTGGTGGTCAGACATCAGAAGCTCATCACCCATCTAGTTCCAGCAGCCACATGTCTTGTGTCTTCACCTCTGTTCGTGTTTCCTACCTTATGTTTTAGTGATGTCTAGAGGAAAAAAAATGGTAGCTTTTCTGGATCTTTAAGACCCTGTCATAACCATGGGCACTGGTGGAGGCAAAGGCACCCGTTAGGGATAAAGGACTAAAGGACTAAATAAGACTTTTTACCAAAAATATAATCACATGTCTAGTAGATACAATGAATTTGTTCTGGAAAATTTGGCTCATGAACCAGAACCAAGACTCGTTTCCTACGAAGGAATCCTGGTGAGTGGATGAGAAGTGTCTTAGTACATGATCTGTGACACTGGCAAAGCCAAAATGGTTGAAATCGTTCCATTGAAATGAACATTTTATCATTGACATAATTATTTAATGGAACTGCTCTTCTTGTGAAAATATGAAATAAATGTACTAAGATACTGAAAAATGTAAAAGAGATTCTAGAATTAGCACATGCAATTACCCAGCTAAAAGCTTCATGTGGAAATTATCCGCCTTAGGGTGCTTCATGGAGACAGATCACATTAGGAAGGAAAGAAAATTATCCTCTTATTGTTACGTATTACAAAGTAACTCATTGACCCTGGATTCAAACACATGGGCATTCCATTTTCAGTTGTTGAAATTTTCCTATGGAAGTATTGTCAGATCATTTTTAAAAGTCTGTAATTTGATAAAAAATAAATCTTACTTCTATTTGGGTACATTTTATGAAATAATAATTGTGAAACGTGTGTCCATGATGCATTTTGTGATCGGAGAAACATCTTAATAATAAATGCAGAGGCGTCCCGAGAGGCTCCGCTAAGGACACAGCCCGGAAGCCATGGAGTCTGCGTGGAGATGGTGGCGCTTCTGTCACTCCCACTGAGGCTGTGGGCGAGGATTTCCACTCTTTTCCTCTCCCCTGCTCAGTCTCCTCACCTACAACCCGGGGTGACAGTGGTGCTGTCCCCCAGGTTATGGGGCAAATTCAATTATCAACACATAATCAGCGTGATTGAAAGTTAATGCGGAGTGTGCAGAACCAGCACCTGACTCCTGCCGAGAGTCGCATCCAGGTTTCCTGTGATTCCTGTAGCGGCAGAAACCAGTCTGCAATTCACAAATGCTCATCGTGTGTTGTGATGGGAAGGTGTCGGCATGGAACGATAAAGAAGAAGTTTGGCAAATGGCAAAGGCTGAGGGTTTGAGTTAAGCTGTGGAGCTCAGGCCCCTGCGGGTGGACTGGGGCGAGCAAAGAGGCCGTTCACTGGAGGCAATGCTGGAGAGCAAGCTGGGACCAGATCCCCTATGGCTCTGTGGGCCTTTGTGGACCTGTAGACACAGGACATTTGAATTTCATTCTGAAAGCAACGAGAAGCCAGCACAAGGCTGCGAGGCTGGTAGATTGGGCACGGGCTGACTTCCTGGTGGATGCATCACCTTGGCTGCTCTGAGGGAAGTGAACTTCGGGGCCTCAGGGTTGAACACAGGGACAGCAGGGAAGAGAGCAGAAGCCCAGGTGAGAGATGGCGGTGGCTTGGAGCGATGGCAATGGTGGAAATTCGGGGGGCGGGAAGGACAGGTACAGAGCATGACACAGTGAGACAGAGAGAGAAGGAGAGAGAGACACAGAGAGAATATTTTAGGATGCGAGACACCACAGCCTATTTAAATGCTGATGGAAAAAAGCAAGTTAAAAAAAAATTGGTTCTGCACCAGAGTGAGGGCATATTTTTCTGTAGTCACTACAAGACATACCTCATCAAAGAAAACACTCTCAGTCGCACAGGGCTTATTTCTCCTACAAAGCCCAATAATCCAAATAATTGGAAATTCTGTTGCCCACTGATGATTTCATGTCCCTCATGAACCTCGTTAGCAGTCTCCCTGAGAGGCACTGTGCTATGTAATGCGGTCCTCAGAACAGAAGTTCGGTGGATGTCGTTATAGGTTTATCTCTAAGTCCACTGCAAACTTCCTACGCGATTTTAAACATATTATTTATCTTACGATAATCATTCTTCTGCATTATGAATTCTGAAACCTAGGTTCCTTCTGGTTCTTTTGCAGTTTCCATCCTCACTTCATCATGCTCCTGTGGCCCCGTACCCTCCTACATAGAGTTAATACTATAGTAACT